TTTAACATATACCATTATTTTTAGTTATCATAAATAATATTATAGATTTATGTCTTATTCTGTGGTAGCAAGAACGTTCTATTTGCACGAGAGGATGAACTGGAACAATTTATAAAATAGTGAAATAAATGAAAGTATTATTACTTGCTAGCCACTTTTCCAATTCATCTTTTTAATAGCTGAGTCTAAAATAGAATTGATAGTAGACCCATGTGAAACAGTTGCTGTGTGCTGAAGAATTGCTTTCAGTTTGTGTAAGCTCATCATTAGTATAGAGAAGTTTAGTAATCTTAAGTATTTTATGGTTACTGTGTAAGCTACTTTAGTTGTATTTTGAGGAATTATGCTGTTGTCTCTTTGTTAAGTTTTTGAAAATATACTTGACTTTATACAAAAATTAAATGAAGACTTATGAAGGTTTTCTTTTTTTTTTTACTCTACAGATATTTATTAACCCTATTACTACTTTTTAATGTCAGAGATATAAGTAATTTCCTTTTTTTTTTTTGGAGACAGAGCCTCAAGCTATCCCCCTGGGTAGAGTGCCATGGCATCACACTCACAGCAACCTCCAACTCCTGGGCTCAAGCGAGTCTCCTGCCTCAGCCTCCCAAGTAGCTGGGACTACAGGTGCCTGCCACAATTTCTGGCCATTTTTTGGTTGCAGCCATCATTGTTGTTTGGTGGGCCCGGGCTGGGGATTCGAACCTGCCACCTTAGGTGTATGTGGCTGGCGCCTTAGCCGCTTGAGCCACAGGCACCGAGCCAAGTAATTTTCAAGGTATGGGTATCACAACCCAAAAAGAAGTACTCTTGGCCAGGCGCATTGGCTCATGCCTATAATCCCAGCACTCTGGGAAGCCGAGGCAAGTGGATTATTTGAGCTCACAGGTTTGAGACCAGCCTGGGCAAGAGCAAGACCCCCTTCTGTAAAAATAGCAGGTGTTGTGGTAGGTGCTTGTAGTCGCAGCTACTTGAGAAACTGAGGCAAGAGAATCTCTTGAGTCCCAGAGCTTGAGGTTGCTATGAACTACGATGCCACGGCACTCTACTGAGGGCAACAAAGTGAAACTCTGTCCAAAAAAAAGTGGTAGTACTCCTTGTGAATAGTACTTTTTAAAATTATCTTTTCAGTTATCTAGAACAATTGTTTTATTTAATTCAATTTTGATTGTGTGTCTTATGGGGAAAATGCTATTCCAGTATTACAGGAATAGCATAGCCCTTGTTCTGTAGAATTCTAGTACAGCATTTGGATATTTGGGGTGAGCGAAGCCAAGAGAAGTATACAGATAACTTTAATATGGTCAGTATTCAATGAAATTTTATTTCATTAAAAATGTGATGTGAAGGTGCAAAAGAGACCATCTGGTTTGAAGAATAAGACCAAGTTTCATGAAATGGGTGGGAATGAAATGAACATGTATAATTTTGAAGTGTTGAGTTGGACTAAGTGAAGAAAACAACATAAGGAAAATGCAGGTATCCACTGATTTAGTTTTTGAGCTTGTAGCCTTAAAATTCTGAACTATTTGGCCTATGCTACTTTATATGACTTTTTACTTTGAATTATTGGTAAGAGTGATAAGATGGACTCGAATAATTTAAACTCTATAAAAATAAACCTAAATAATATGGTTTATTATTAACCTAAAAACCTAAAAAAAAAAATATATTTTTTAATGTAAAAAATAAACCTAAATATATGATTAACTTGCTGCTGTGGCCTCAGCCAGTTTACTGAGGAAGGGAGTGTTGAAATGTTAGCTAGACTAGACTAGAGTGGTAGAATATACAGACTTACTGAACTGGAAGGAGCAACAGAGGAGACCAGTTAATTCATTATCCTCATTCTAGAGCAGGCGTCCTCAAACTACAGCTTGTGGGCCACATGCAGCCCACCCAGGACGTTTATCCGGCCCTCCAGGTGTTTTTGCCACCACTGCCTGTCCTGCTTAGCAGCCGACTTGTCCCACAGTCCAGTCCTCCAACGGTCTGAAAGACAGTGAATTGGCCCCCTGTGTAAAAGGTTTGAGGACCCCTGTTTTAGAGATTAAGAATGAGGACCAAAGGAATAAATGATATGCCTATTTTCTACCCATATTTATAGTGATGGAGTTGGCACTTCATAGGTCCATGTCGTGTAATAGTCAAGTCTATTGGGGTAGTTTGAAGCAAACCTCAAATTCATTTTTATTACAGTAACTGGATCTAAAATATGTAATTTGTACACAATCTGAAGTCTGCTACAGACAAATCAGTCTAGTGCTTCCCCTGCTTTCTGCCCTTCTTACTGGAGGTCTCATTTATAGTTCACCTGCAAGAGGGTAAAGAATATATGAAACCTGTAGTATTAGTTTGGCTGTAGCAGAGACTGTAAGTAGGATGGGTAGGAACATCGTTTTGCCATTTGGCCTACATTCTTCATGGCACATGAATATGACAGGAAGTCTGAACTACCTTGACAGAGGAAGATATCGAATCAACCACAAAATAAGAGAATTTTTAAGAAGAAATTTGGTTGTCCCCCCCCCCTTTTTTAAACATCAGATTAACATGAACAAAGAATAATTTTTGGACTAGGTTATTCACATTTTCATTTTTTATTAGCAGGATAACTTTAGGTCTCTACTCTACCATAATACTTCATTACACTGGAGATCTCTTTTTGACTAGAGGTAATTTTCATACTTATTGAGATCTAATTAACATATCATGTAACAAAGCGTACTGTTGTTTGTGGTATATTCAGAGAGTTGTACCATCATAGCCACAATCTAATTTTATTTTATTTTATTTCTTTAAACTATTATTGTCATTATTTATTTATTTATTTATTTATTTTGAGATAGAGCCCTAGGTAGGATGCCATGGTGTCATAGCTCACATCAACCTCAAACTCTTGGACTCAAGCAATCCTCTTGCCTCAGCCTCCTGAGGATCTGGGACTACAGGCATGTGCCACTATGCCTGGCTAATTTTTCTATTTTTAGGGGTCTTGCTCTTGTTTAGGCTGGCTTCAAACTCCTGAGCTCTAGCAATCCACTCGCCTTGGCCTCCCAGAGTGCTGAGATTACTGGAATAAGTCACCAAGCCCGGCCCACAATCTAATTTTAATACATATCATTGTTTCCTCCCCCCAAACTTCATACATATTAACAGTCACTGTCCTTCCCCCTCATAACCATGCAACCCTAGGCAACCAGTATTCTACTTTCTGTGACTTGACTATTCTGGACATTTCATATAAATGGAATACTATGTAATGTTTTGTGACTGACTCATTTAGTTTCAAGATTGTTACATGTTGTAGCATGTGTCATGTCAGCATTTCATTCTTTTTTATTGCCAAATAATAGTTTTATTTGTTCATGAGTTTATGGACATTTGGGTTATTTCTGCAAATAATTTCTCTTATTCTGTGGGTAGTTTTTCCTGAAGGAAATTCTTTTTTAACATGAAGTTAACACCATTTAAGAAATACAACTTATCTTCTTTTTGTAAGCCTGCAACAAAGAAATACCGTTGATACTGCATCTTTTAAAGATATTATAGACTCCACTCATGCTAGAAATTAAGAAATATGAATTTAGGAACTTGAGAGATTAAATGCAAGGTTGACTGTTTTATTACAGTATTTTTCAAATTGTATCTTTAGAACCTGTTCTTTCTTACTGGTGAGCTTTTAAAATCTCACATTTATATTCTTTGAGGCACTTTTGTTACAGTGTGTTATTGGGTCTGCCATCTACTCAAATAATCTGTAATCCTAAATTATATCTCTTGGTGACAAATTCTGTGGTATAACTTTCCCTTTTCTTATTGACTTCTCTGTTGCCACAACTATTCAATGTAGTGGTGGAAGTTCTAGCCAATACAATCAGGAAAGAGAAGGAAATAAAGGGCATTCAAACGGGAGCAGGTGAGGCCAAACTCCCCCTCTTTGCTAACAATATGATCTTATACTGAGAGAACCCTAAAGACTCAACCACAAGACTCCTGGAAGTGATTAAAAACTACAGTAATGTCTCAGGATATAAAATCAGCGTCCACAAGTCAGTAGCCTTTGTATATGCCAGTCACAGCTAGAATGAGAAACTAATTAAGGACACAATCCCTTCACAGTAGCTTCAAAGAAAATAAAATATCTAGGAATAGTTTGCAGTGCCACTGCAGTGTAAAAGTATTCCCTTCTCTCCACAACCTAATACAACCCTTTGGAAGGAAGTATGGAGAGTCTTCAAAGAACTCAAACTAGACCTCCCACTTGATCATGCAATCCCATTACTGGGAATCTACCCAGAAGGAAAAAAAATCATTTTCTCATAAGGACATTTGCACTAGACTGTTTATTGCAGCACAATTTATAATTGCCACATTGTGGAAACAACCTAACTGCCCACCAAGCCAGGAATGGATTAACAAGCTGTGATGTATGTATAACATGGAATACTATTCCACCACTTAAAAGGATAGTGATTTTACATCTTTTGTATTAATTTGGATGGAGTTGAAATATATTCTTCTTAGCAAAGCATCACAAGAATGGAGAAGTAAGAATCCAGTGTACTCAATTCTGATATGAGGACAATTGATGCTAGTACATGGTGAAGGGAGGAGGGATGAGAGAGAAAAAGAATGAGATGGGGGGCCATGGTGTGTGACACACCTCTTGGGAGTGGGACACTTTTAATAGAGGGACTTCACCCAGCAAATGCAAGCAGTGTAACCTGGCTCATTGTGCGCTCAATGATTCCCCAACAATGGACAAAAAAAAGAAAAAAAGAAAGAAGGAAATGCCTAGGAATATACCTAACAAAAGAGGTGAAGGAAAATAAAGAAAATAACGAAACCCTAAGAAAAGAAATAGCAGAAGATATTAACAAATGGAAGAACATAACCATGCTCATGGTTGGGAAGAATCAACATTGTTAAAATGTCCATACTTCCCAGAGCAGTCTAGAGATTCAATGCTATCTCCATTAAAATACCAACATCATGTGCTAGCTTTGGCAGCACATATACTAAAAATGGAATGATACGGAGAAGATTAGCATGGCCCCTGCGCAAGGATGACACGCAAATTTGTGTTCCATATTTTTGAAAATGCAGTGAAGGCTATGTTAACCAGTTTGATGAAAGTATTTCAAATTGTATATAAAATTAGCATATTGTACCCCATAATTGCATCAGTGTACACAGCTATGATTTAATAAAAAATAAAAAAAATACCAACATCATACTTTCAAGACATGGAAAAAATAATTCTTCATGTTGTATGGAACCAGAAAAAACCCTGTATAGCTAAGGACCTTTTTTTTTTTTTTTTTATTTTAAGGTGAAATTCATTTAAACCTCAGGTGAGACTGTGTTTCTAGAAGGTAACATGTAGCTTGAAGCATATATGTGAATGTTGGGGACATGCTGTTAGCCTGATGTTTACCTTGAATGCTTATATATGAGCATTTGAAGGGATTTTTTTTTTAATACCTGCAGATTACTTATAAGACATAGAGCCATATCATGCTTTTTCTTTCATTAAGGCCAGATGCTCAGTACTTGAAATTGTGTAAGATTTTCTTTCCTTGTCTATGAGATAAAACATTTGCTTAGTTCATGAATCAGTTTTTGATAGAAGGAAAAGAGTCTTATTAAACTAATCCATACCAATAGGTTTATTATTTTGAGGAATATTTGTATTTTTAACAGTTAACCTATTTTACAAAATTATTCCCTGATTGATAAAATCTGAAGTGTTTTAGTGAAGAGAATAATGGATTGGGGGAGAGTTTTGAGCATTAGTCATTAAAATTTAGCACATATGGTCTAAGGAAATGCCAGAAGAGATACAAGTAATATACTGTGAAAATACAGAAGATAGATAAATTATTTATAATTTGGGAGATTAGAAAAGGTATTATGTGTAGTTAGCACTTGAACTGAATATGTAAAGGTAAGATTTTATTAGGGTGTTTGACGGAATTGGAAAGTGCAAGCATTTGTAGTTAGAGGGGAATAGTTAATATTCTAGCTTGACTAAAATGTAAGCTCTGGATTACTGGTCAAATATATTGGGTTGAATATATACATTTATTTTTACTTTCTCCTTTAAGTTCACTAAAATGACACTGAAGGGCTGAAAAGGTGTGAAACCACAAGGACAAAGAATCCAAGAAGAGATGCAGCAGATGAGGGTAATGAACAAAATTTGGAATGTAGAAAGCAGATGACAGAAGAAGGGCAATTGATTTATTAAAGTATAGAAAGTAGAAATGTAAATATCTTCAGAGGTGAAAGCCAGGAAGAAGCATTTCTCCCTATGGAATTCTGGAGAGGCTTAGCAATAGAAACATTATATACTTTGGAAGGTAAGTTGAAGAATGACACTAAAAAGAGGGAAGGGTTTTAATTTCTTATAAACTGTTGTTACTTAGAACTTTGAGGAAAGTGGTATGGTGTTGGAAAATAGTATTGACTGGTGACATTCCTTCTTAGCAACTATACTCTGCTGAAGATCCATTCAGTGGCCAATTGAAGGTTAAATGGAGCACACTCAGGTGAATTGTGAAGTAGATGGCTGCTCTAAATTTAAGGAAGAAATAAGATGTTGAAGTAGCTTTTGGCAAAATCCCAGTGGGTAAATTCTTTCTTCTTAGTGGCAAAGCCCTCTCAATTTTAGCATTGGAGTCTCTACTTATTGGAATCTGTCGTGAATGAGGCGTTTACATGGTGACTCTCCTCTCTAATTGTGTGTTACAAGACTGTAATCTTTAAAGCAATTCTAGGTGCCCCTGTTATGATCCTGCTTACTGTGTGTGCATGTGGGGCTAATAGAAGGAACTGCTCCTTCTGTTTTTCTATACCTTGCCCCTTTTCTGCTTCATGCTGAACATGTGTATACACACTTGAACTTTTTACTCACACCATTTCTGACACCAGTTGTATGGTGTCTTTTCCAGGACTATCTCTCCAACTCTCTAATACTAGATGAATGTCCTTCAGTTCAATTCTGACTCTGGCTACCTGGAGTTAGTGGCAGCTCTCACAAGTTAAAGGGTCAGTCTCACAAGACTGTTCCCACTACAGATGCTAGTTACAAGTCCCAACTTGTCATTAATGTTTCTTGTCACTGGGCTATAGATTCAGGGGGTTCCCACAACCCTTTCCTCAGGTTCAATAATTCATTAAAATGGTTCACCAAACTCAGGAAAGTACTTATTATTCCTACTTTATTATAAAAGAGAAAACTCAGGAGTAGTCAAATGGAAGAGATGTTTATAAGATGTGTTCTTTTAACTCAGAGCTCTCTGAACCCCATTGATTATGGATTTTTATGGAGGTTCCATTACATAGGCATGATTGATTAGATCATTGGCACTGGAGATCAAATTCCCAGCCCTCTCCTGTTTCCAGAAGTTGGGGGAGTTCTAATCTTGTAATCATATTTTTATTTGTTTGGTGACCATCCCCCATCCCAGTGCTACTAGTCATTTCATTAACATACAGTGTCACCCCAGGGAGTCTAAAGGTTTTAAGAGTTGTGCCAGGAACCTGGCACAAAGACCAAATATTTATCTTTTATTATATTGTAATGCCCTTAGCATTTTTTACCAGGAAGAAGGACTAAAAGTAGACTATCTTATAGCTGCTGAAAGTTTCAATTCTTTTGCTGATTTCTGCTGAAGAATTCAAAATTAAGACTTATGAGAATTAATCTTCTTGTAATTAATTCATTTGAACAAGTATATATTGAAGTTCTCCCATGTCCTATTATACATTTTGCTTTAAGCACTAGAGATACAATAGCCACATTTCTCTTCTCAAGGAGATTAAGAGAATGTTTATGGGACAGACAAGTAAATTAGTATATGTTACCTTTTATGGATATGGAGAATAATGAGTGAGGAGCAGTTTTCTAGGGGAAACAACAAATCATTTTGGACACATGAAATGCCTTCTTACCTAAAAGACAATGATATATGAGTCAAAAAATTCATGGGGGATTTTGAGGCTGAGCATATGTGTTCAGGTCATTAGTGTCTGTTGATGACAATGGTCCTAGAAGCTGAGCTCCTCCCCAGCAAAAACAGGCCGGCCTCTGCCCTTTGCAGTTCATCTTACCAAACATAGACTCCTGTTTACCTCTTTCTCCTCAACCTCCTTTTTTCCACTCTGTATCATTTTTGAAATGTCATTTTTGGCACAGAACTTCCACTGCAATTTGCCCAGTCTTTCAGATCCTGGAAAAGTACAGCCCTTTCTCACTATGAGAGAGAATGTCTAGGAAGTTTCAATCTGTTTACCACTGTGGTGATTTTACTAATGTGTCCAAGATCAGAAAGACATTTTTTTCCTGGCCCTACCACTATACACTTATGCTTTCTGGAAACCTTATGGATAAATGAAGGAACAGCTTTCTTCCTGGGTTGGATGACCTACTTATGGATGCTTAAATTTGAGAATCCAGAAAGCTCTATCTTTTAGGTCTAAATTTTTGAAACCCTGGCTTTTGGAGTGAAAGAGGAATAGGGACGTTATCTAACAATGTTTAAAGAAGATACAGCATCACAAAAAAATTGGTTTTGAGGATGCAAATTTAATTCAACATAGGAATAATCAATCACACTGACAGTTTAAAAAGCAAAACATCTCAATAGATAGAGAAAAGGTATTCAATACATTCAACATACTTTTAAAAAATGTGTAGATTTGTAAGAGATGGTAGGGGACATCCTTAATCTGATTGTGAAAATCTAAAAACAAGCATCATATTTACTATTGCTACTTTATACATCATTATACTAGAGAACTTAGCCAGGTTAACAGGACAATAAAAAGAAAAATAGTAGAAAATTGGGAGGAAAGAAACAAAACTATCATTATTTGCTGATGATATAATAGTCTACTTAGGCTTCTCAAAAGAATCTATAACATTAGATTATGATAATCTCTTATTCTAATTAATAGTTACATATAGTTAAATGTATTTAATATTATAATATAATCCATTAATTATTATAATTTTGCCAAATTTTTGGATATTTCAATTTATAAAGATTATGTTTTCCTAAACACTACATACAAAGTTAGAGATATAACTTAGTATCTTTAGTAAAAGGATACATTAAAATAGTAACAAAAAAGTTTCTTTAGGAAAGAGCACTTTAGGTGTTGTGTTAGGCATGAAAGCCTATTTAGAGTGGGGTTCAAGAGAGATGGGAAGAAAGTAATTTTAGATAGAATATAAACAACTTATTTGAGGAATTTTGCTATAAAATGCATCAGAAAAACTAATAGTAACTGGAAGTAAATGCCAAAGGGTTTTTTTTTTTTTTTTTTTTAAGCTAGAGAAATCCCATTTGTTGATGGGATAGTTCAAGCAAGAAAAAAAATTGATGATGTAAGAGAAAGAGGGGAGAATTCCCTAAAGATGTCCTTGATGAGATGGATGAGGATAAAACCCAGGGCACA